TGATGTAATATGAAAGTGTCATGCTGCTAATGTAGTTCTACGAATGAACATTTTTGGCTTCACGTGTAGGTATTTTTCAGCGCTAGAGATTCATAGGAGGTCGATACAAATAAAAATCTTAGAGCAACAGTGCTTTTTGGCTCATACCGTTACCCCTGTTTAACTGATGTGATAACTGAGGCAGAAATATATTGAACTTCTTGTCCAAGGTCACGCAGCGAGGTCAGGAATGGAACTAAAGCAGACTCCAGCTCTTTCGGTTCATGCTTTATTTTAAACAATCTAATCTCCCTCTTAGCTCTTTGGCGTTGATGCTAAAGTACAGAAGACTGTTAATACACCGTTACCCTTAAAATTGCAAATCCCCACTGTAAAAAGAATGTAGGTTAGGATCTAAAGCAAGTATATGAAAATGCCTTTTCAGCCCACTGGATGCAGAAATACTGCTGCACGCCCCATCACTTTAATAATATCTCACAGCAGAAGGTACTTGAGTCACTTTTAGCATACTGCCGATCCTAACTAAAAGCTTTTAAGACTACCTAAAGTTATGCATTCAGCCAGGAACACGTAGCTGATGTAGACTCCTGGAATCACATGTTATAGCCAACCTTTTCATTTGTGTATGAAGAAAGTTGAAAAGTAAGGTAAAAATTAAAAAAAATGAAAAGCAATATATCTATTTTCTACAGCATTTTACAAATGTCTTATGAATACCAGGTAATCTCCTCAACAATTCCATGACAAAACATTACCCACAGCTATTTCAACATAGAAGCTGCATGAACATGATGTGAAAACTGAAGCTGTAGCTTCAGACCTAAGCAGTAACAAAAGGCCTCCAACTGCTCTAGAGGTCAAAAATACACAAACACCAATCAAATAAAACATCGATGCCAGCAAGCTCAGTGATGGGATTCCCTGACCACCACCCTCCTGCTCCAAAGTTGAGGTTTTCCATGATAGCCTTTGCTTCCTGATCCATGTGAAGCAATGTCAAATCAATGCAGAACGGTTTGCTTTTTTTTTTCTTACCACGCTTAAACAAAACAGCTTTCTTGATAGTGAACGCTGTGCTGTACGTACCCCTGCCCCGCCAAGCATTTTAATTACTTTACGATGAAGAAGAAACATAGTTTCTTTTCTGCTGAACATTGGTTGCAGTTAGCAACTCCTATTGCTAAGTGATAGTGTGTATCAAGAGTTCAAAAAGTTCGTGTTCTGTATTAATCTGATTTAGTTAACTTTTTAACTCCTCTTCACAGCTTTATAAGAGCAGTGACCTCTTTGCCGTATGTGTAATTTTTTTTCTCTTGATGTCAGAACTGCACCAGTAGAAACAGAGTGAAATAGCACCCAGCACAAAACCCCGTAATTTAACAACCTGCATAATAAGATTTGATAGTATGTTTTGAAAAAGGACTTAAATGATTCAGACACACCATGGAAAAATCAGTGAAACTCAAAGTCATTTCAGAAATCCCACTCCTAATTGAAATTTAAATATCCAAATAAAAGTGCTCAGCTGCTCATAAAATCTCGATATCTCTAACTTCCTAGCTTTGGGTGCATAGCAGAGGCTGTGGGTGCTTCCCCTCTTTGAAAAGCTACAGTTTCGCGTGGGATTCAGAGACCTTTTTTAAACAGTCCTTACTAACATAGTAAAGCAACAGTATTTTCAAGATGGGTATCAGAATAGCCTGCTGGGTGCTGCAACAATAGGTGAAGCATAACTACCCGTTTATTAATAGTAGATGTGGAGAGAGCTTTCCATTTCTAAGCCCCACATGATAGCCACAGAAGCATTCCAGGACAGAGAGAATGAGGTGCAGAGCAACACCAAGAGCAAGTCACACGGGTAGTCTGGGACCTGGCTGTGAGGAACAGCTAAGCTAGAGGCTGCAATCGGAAGACAATTGAAAAAAGCATCACAGCTGATCTGCAAGATTACAGAAAGGCCTCAGATGAGACCACCACCAACACAAAAAAATCCAGCTGCACTCCAGGAGTTTAAGCCTAGTGTAATTAAAGATGCTGACAGTTCATCAGGAGTGCTATGACCCAGCCGGCCACTCACTAGAAAAGTGCCGGTGTACAAGAGGAATGCAAGCAGCAGCAAGATCTGCAGAAAGGCATTTCTCCTAGTGCATACGCTGTCCACCGGGGACAAATGTTCCACAAGCCTGCAACCTCTGACACTCAGCCCTTCAATCAGATCACAGTGATTTTGAGAGTATGTCCAGCACAGCTCCTTACAGACAAGTTTTTTTTATCCCACTGCCTGCTTTGCAGATTTGATGGGCTGTTTGTACACTCCTACAAAGAGGCTCAAAACAGGGTTTTGGTTAGCAGTCTTCCCTACTACCATGAGAGGTTTTAATAAAGTATTTATAAGCTTAAAAGTATTTATATTTTTGGCAGAGCATTCTATTGACATGCAGTGCTAACAAACTATTACCCAGTTGCAGAAAACAGCAAAAAGTTCCACTTCATTTTTAGCATTGTACTCTTGGTATAAATTGCTAGCTTATTAAAGTGTAATCCTCAAAATGGAACAACTCTAATTCTTTCTTCAGCCCTAAATATCAGGGACGTGGACAAAACCAGACTTATTTCCTAATGACTTCTCACTTTGATTTGGGAAAATTTGTATGACCTCTTTTTGGATGCCTTTTATTGAAGTGCACCCCAACTGCCTCCCCGCAAAACCAAGAACAGACTGAAAGGGCTGTTAACATTCATATCCAGTTTAGACATCTGACTTGCCACAAAGTAATTATTACATTTGCCATGTATCTAAGATATAATTAACAGCACATGTGACAGAGAGATGCATTATATAAGTCAAATTCCAACACCTTTACTCACTTCAAACAGCACCTTGCTTTGAGAGTAATCACAAGTATTTCAATGGTGCTACTTGCCAAATAGAGTACTATTTCACAAGTGACCCAATCAGGTACATTTTCTAGTAAACTTGCTCTTCACCTGTGTTTTTAAACAGGCTGTACACACACCAGGATCTGGCATATATAAAAAAATCAACCAAACAAACAAATTACAGAGAGATCCAGATCTCTCAATGACAATGAACTATTTGCATGACACTTAGATTTACTTTAATCACTAGAATATCAAGTCCATGGTATCTTCATGGTCTGTATACAACCTTGCTAGATAATGAAACTGATGTTTTGGTTTCTGCTACCCTTATTTTAGACAGATACTGTAACCACTAAGTTCAGTCGTGAACTTCTCTGATGATTCCAGTTGGGAATGACAAAAGACCACTGAGATACCTTAGTCCATTCTTCCTCGAAGAAAAACTACAAATATTACCTGAAGAGACAGATAAATTTCAGGGAAAGATCACTCTTGGGAGCAGCTGTAGTTACTGTACATATGCTTTATGTGCCTGAAGAATCAATTAATTTGCAATTCTTATAGAAAACAGTAGACAGAAATATATAACACAGCTGCCGGTCTTCCAAACATACTGTTAGTGTAGCTGCTATGAAGTCAGTGTCCAAAACTTAGAGCCACCTGCTTCCACTAGAAGAAGGCAGGTACTCATTTTCACTTCACAAGTCACACAATTAACTGTTAAAAGGGAAACACAAACAGCATAGGTAGGTCACTAGCAAGAGATCTGAGAGACAGTCCCTTCCTTTGCTGTTTTCTTGTGCCACCCAGAGAAGCCGTCAGTTTATACATCCCTCAGTTCCTCAACTCATCAACAGTTCCTTCGGTCACGCATAGGTTGTATGGCTATGACAGAGCTTTTCATGGGATGTCATGAGGGAAAATTGAGAAACTCCTCTTGTATGGGTGCGCTTGTCTTTAATAACCTAAAGCAGCTGTGATGTTTGTAAGCATATTTGGATTTTAACGTATCAGGCATTAGACAAGCAGAATCTTGAAAAGGATATAATGGGCCCAAATAAAACAACCACATCTTCAAAAGCTTTAAAGACCAGAAACCTTAAACATGGAATTTGAAACAGAACTGAAACCACCATATTGTGTACATTACTATGGATATATCATCCTGCAGTTAAAACTAAGTCAGATAAACAAGTTGTGCTCTGCTTACAAGATGCTAACCCAGCAGAGAAACATTTGAATGTTACCAAACAGAATCAGGAAAAAAAGGTTTGGATAATGTCTTTAACTTGTGCTTTCTGTAATGGAAACTCTGGATATGAAGAAAAATATATCCTGAACAATTTGTTCTCCCCTTCAAATATTAATCTGTGTGAATTTTTTCCATGGAAACTGGTAAACCCACTCAGTCTTTAACTAAAACATCAAATCATAACCAAAATACCATACAAACTCTGACCTCATTGCTTCCATCTTGATATTTCACCTCATGGATCCCATGTGGTATAGCAGCCTTCACTGTTTAACAAAAAACTGCAAACTTTTTGAGACAGCACTTATGCTTGTCTCCAAACTGCACACAGTATCATGCATATCCAATTAGTCATCTCAAGAAATGAAAAATAAAAGCTAGAAGCATTAGCATAGCAAACAGGTATGAGAACATTTACTCCCTTTTTTGTTCGCTTCCTTCAAAAAAACAAAGGAACCAATTCTCCTTTTACAGTTTCATCCTAGGAGAATGCCAGACTGCAGTGGACTAACATTTGATTTACGCTGGCATGCACAAGCAATAACTGTTTGTTCCAGGGCTCTGAAGCCTTGAGTTAGAATATTTATGAATCTTTAACAGGAATTTTTGCCTAGATAGCTTTCCTTTCACATAAATATCATCACAGTATTTTATCATCTGGCTTAGGTAAGATCAGAAGAGTTGCTAAAGGATTTGCAAATTGGCTCACTAAGACTAGCATTTGACCTCCATAATAAAGTAATGCTTACATGTTTCCAAGGAATGCAGCAGGTATGTGGCAGCCATGCCACACTGCGATATTTTAATTCGCATAGACAGCACATCAACTTTTTAAGCATTTCTTATCACTCAAGCAAGTACTTACAGGGTCAGAAGGACCACAGAAGTCTCTGAACACTTTTGGAGGCTCAAGCTGTATAATCTCCATTGCTATGCAAGGGCCTGAACACAACTCTGTAACCATGTCCTGGAAGAGAAAAAAAAAGACAGAAACAAATCTGAGCTTCTTTGGGCATTAGCAAGGGTTGTATTCCTCCCCAGAACTAGACCCAAACTTACAGGACAGAAACAATTAAGAAATATTGGTGTATTTAGGAAAGCAAAGGCACGAAACAAAAATATCATTAGTATTTGCAACAAAATAAATGTTTTCCATTTTACTACTTGGTTTAGGAGGTGAAGATTGAAGTAAATAGGATATTCAGCTTCAACAGGATACTGAATAGCATGCAACAGCATCCACAATACTTTAAATTCTTTTGCAGGTACATCCTTATTGATCTGGACCTGGATTTCACAGAAGTATCCCATAACTTGTCAAACTAGACTGGATCAATGGAACACACTTTGGTGGGTATAAGCCTGAAAAAAATCACACTGTGTTCATCCAGTTCCACAGGCAGCAATGTACTTTGCAGTGTTCCCTACAGGGAGCACAGTACACAGCCTCTATTTGTTTCCAAATATACACCCTTTTTGATGGCTTTAAGTCTCTTGGGCTTTTGGTTCTCACTGCCTTTTGCTTGTGTATTACTACAGAAGCTGAAACACACAAGCCAACAGAACTGAAAGAGGCCTGTGGACCAACCTGTTAGGGAGAGGGTCCTTGATCTGGCAACATTCTTGTGGTATATTGCTACCAGAATCTCAGTTACACTGAAATCATCTGTTTCCTTGGAGCCTCTTGGAGAGTAAAGAGACATCATGAGTTCTGAGAGGGTGATGAAGACAGGTTTTAGTTTTCATAAGCTTAAATTAACTCTGGTCATTAGTGCCAATTTGAAGTTTGTTAATTAGAGGTATAGGTTTCACAAACAGAAAGAAGTTATTTTGATGTTCTAGTCTGACTTCCTTTTTTAAAACATGCCCTTATAATTGCACACTTGTCTAGAAATTTGGGCAGACAAGTTTTAAACAAATCAGGATAATTGAAAGAATCAAAAAGGTACTGCAACCACACCCACCAGCCATGGGCAGGTCAAGGATGAGCCATGGCAAAGAACAGGAGCATACAGAGTGGGCAAAAGAACAGTAGGAAAAGAAGAATTAAGTCCTTCTCTGCCTTTTATGTACTATGAGGGAAACTACACAAAGACTCCAAGTTAAGCAGCATTGTTCCAAAGAGTTGGTATCTTCATAACAGATTCCATGCTGAGAGCATGTGCTTAATCTTCCCACTCTGAAGTCAACGGGACAAAATTTTAGCCAAGTGCCTCTATCATCCACCTGATCCTAGGAAATGTAGGTAAAGTATTCCCAAGAGGACATGAAAAGAGTGCAGACTAGTTTTGTGCTCTACAACATGAATAAATATTTTAAATCCAAAAACTGTCTTATTGCCAACAGGCCCTCTGTTAAGAACAGGTCAAAGGGCAATATATTTCATTCTGTTAAGAAACAGTAAATTGCTACAAGGTCACTACTCTGTATAGTTTCATTGAATTCTGTCATCTAGATAACTGTTAACAGGGAAGTGGAGAAAAAACAGGCTTTTGACTTTAGTTGAATCAACTGAATTCCTCCCTGCAAACTGTTTTTCTTATTCCTCCCTTTTCTATTGTTTCTATATCAGCACTGACATCCCACCAGCAACAGCAAACAATGTGAGCAAAGTTACTCCTGACTCCTTCATTACAACACAAAGCTGAGGACTGAAGACCAGCTGCTATCAACTACAGCACAGAGGCACGTGGTACTATGTGAGACAAGCTTGGTCTACCTTACACAGCCTCATCAATTCCAGAGTTGAATTTAAACAGCAGACACTGTTCCTCTGGTAAGACTCCCCGTTACAGCTAAATCAAATTTTCTTTAGCAAATAGTTTATTCATCGAATAACATGGCTTGTAGTCAACCAGAATCATTCCTGGAGCTGGATCAAGCTCAAATATTTTTGATCAACAAAGTGGATTCTGAGCTGACCCAAAATAATCTCCCTCCTTTTTTCCCCATTTTCTATTCTGGCTACTGTAGGAAAGCAAAACAGCACAAAAACCAATCAATAGTATGCAAAATCCCATGCAGGAGATACCAACTAAGCTAAAATTCTGAGCAACTGCTCAACTTTCCACAGAGAAGTGCTTTATATACAATGTCAAGCCTTTATCTGACTGACAAGGAATAACAAGAAGGAATGGGAGTGCAGTTTTTAAAAAGGATTTCTGGATGCCAAGTATCTTCTGTGCTGAGTTATTTTGGAATGATAAATAAAATTCAGATCAAAACAGACGGTTCTGAGTCACAGATATAAGAGGTCATATTCTTTCTTCAATATCCTATTTGCAACATACTTCTTCCTATTTGGCCTGCACTGACAATATCTATTGCTGTTCCCATATGTGCCTTCTCTGTATCCCTTTACCATCACGATTAGCTTTCCCACGGTTTCCTGTTTCACAGATATCCTCAGCGCACGGAGACATTAATTTCATTTCATTTCAACTGAGTGCATCCACCACATATGGCTTGCAGGACAGAGCCCTAGAGTCTCACTTTTCTTCAAATCCTATCTAAACCACATCTTCTTTATTGACTTACCCTGTTTAAATGTCACTTTCCCTTCTGAGTAACTCTCCAGTTAAATTATATAACTAAAATTTGCAACTTATTAGGTGGTCAGAGATTGTTCAAAAGAGCTGCAGAAGATGGTAGAGGATTTCCAATCTGGTTCAAAGCAGAGACTTTTGCAGTACCACGGGACTCTTTGGGCCCTGAAATACTGGTCAGATATTACTGTATTTGAATTCTGCCACGTACCTACAAGCCTGCCTGTCCAATCTTCCTTTGGTCCTTGTCAAAAATGGTGTTATCAGAGGAGACTTTAAGTGTATGCCCCAACCTGCGAGTGAACTAATAGTACTCCTAACCTATTTAAAGACAAATCTACAGACCCTGTTGAAGTAAGTTAGACTAAACAATCATAAAGAACAATCATAGAAAATAAAAAGGTCATTATCAGAGCGATATGTTTGGAGTAATATTAGTAACTGTGTAGAAAACTTTTAATAATTTAACCATTTAAAAATTAAGGATAATTTGTGTAATACATAGCATGGCAATGAAGCTAGACTCATTACTATTTGTAAAATGAACGAAAATCCTTTGACAGAAGGTGATACAAAAATGCAAGCTTGTCATCTTGTATTCTTATTGTTCTAGCTGCAGTCAGGAAGTTTTATGTGACAGTACAAGAAGGCAAAATAATATATAGAGTCTTAGGCGTCCACTGGGATTACAGCATATCTTAAACTTCTTAAATTTTCTGAAGATCCACAAAAGTCAGATCAATAAACTTAAAAATAGCTCAAAATGTCATCGGGAAAGCATTCAAGTACAGCAGCCCCGCTGTAAACAATATAACAAATATATACTCTGGTCCAAGCCACTATCGCAATATCAAATCAAATGAAGATGCAGATGTGACCAATTCTCACAGCTCTACTGCAATAAAATAACTTATCTCGGGGGGAGGTCACTCTGATGTATTTTACAAATGCCTTGGCTGAACAATTTTCACAAAAGATGCTCCTTTCTTACAACACAGATAGCACAATTTTCAATATAAGTTAGTTTATCTGAGAACAAGCTAGAACTGCTGAATACCAGGTTCCTAAAAGAAATCCTATCACAATCCCAAAAAAGGGAAGATGTGGCCACTTCCTCATTTAATCATATTTTATTTTTAAACAGATTCTTTTCAAACGTACGCTTACCATATATTCAGCGACGACACCTTTGTAAATCTCATAAAATTCTTCCACGTTTGCACGCTCCATGTTGAACTAAGAAAACAAAAATGTTAACCAGTCTGCCTTAAACAACAAAAAAGTAGACAGACACCCCTTCTTAACCAGCAAACATTCAGATTACTCTTTGAAGTTTGACTAGACAAAAGGAATGGCTTTACAGCTGCAATATGAAGTTTGTCAACAATGTAGCCAATGACACCACAGGCAACATAGCACACACTATCTTCCTCCACCTTAAATGTAAGTAGACAGCGTAGTGTTGGCTGATGCCACTAAGACATGCAAGAGGATCTGTTTGTTGCATGGAGGAAAGGGGCTATTCTTCATTTGTGGTGGGGATTTGAGTCATAGGGGGATTTCAGATCTTGAGACTTTCACAAAAATCAAAGGGCAGGACTTACAGGACTACTCTTGGGAACAATCTCTGTGCCAACTTCCTTTAACTGCTGAGGGTGATTAGGGTGTCAAAATCCTTTAAGTATCTTTAAAACCCTTCCCCAAAATTCATATTAAATAAATATTAAAAAAATATTGAAGAAGGATATTAACAATCATTTCTCTAATCTTTGCTAGTACATTTTGTAAAGATATCTCAAATTGCTCCAGAAGAGGCAAATATCATTATCCCCCTTCTAACTATAGGGAAACTGAGATACAGAGAGGTAAAATGTCTCGGCTCAAGGTCACCTATCAACGAGAAACAGATCATCTGATCAATCTAATAATAAACCCCAAATATCACAAGGACAGTGCTGATCCCAAAACATTGCTACAGAGTCTGCACAAAGGTTTTCTATTGCAGGAAAACACCTGTGCATTGCTGTGAAGTGCACACAGCACTCCTCCAACTTCTGTTTATCAGAAAAACATACACAAAAGGAAACCTACCATCTGCAAAGCTGAGATCTGAAATCCTTCACTGATGATGGCTTTTATAATCTTTCCAGCCAGCCCTGAAGAAATACACAAAAGACGGTATTCAATTTTAAAAAACAGAATTTACAACTGGAAGGTGTTTATGCCAATATACTACTTATTTTCAAACCAAAAAAACCAGTGTTTGCATAATGCTGTGAGAGGAAGCAGAGAGCAGAGCTGAGTTCACATACTCTATGCTTTCTCTAAAGTGACGTGTTGACAATTTCAAACAACTAAATTCCACGCAGCTGTTGAAAAGAATCTCTACGAAAAAAAGGTAATTAGTGAAGCTCTTCTTTTCTCAGATCAACCGCAACATACCCAGTTGCTTCAAGATCAAGATTTATATTTTTAATTAAGTTCCACTGGCAATACTGATGCTTAAACAGCAATCACGTCAGGGCACAGGCTGCCTGTTTTGCTGGTTTTATAGTGTTCACCAGAGTGGGGGGTCCTACTTTAAGCTAGCAACAATGCAGGACAATAATAAATATTCCCAATAAACCAGCACAAAACATCACGTCTTCTATGGGAAAAACACATTACTGCAAAATAACCTACTGCTTCTGAGGTTGTAACTCACAAATATGTTATTGCTGATCATACTGCTTGCTTTATTCTGTCCAGAATGCATCCTCAAAGACTGAATGACATTGTAAAACAAAACACTAAACTTCAGAGAACAAGAACCACTGATTTTCCACTGAATGAGTATTTTAGATTTGCCTGTGCTTACAAGATCAGGCCCTTTGAAAGATTATGTTGGCCAAGCACAGTACTCTACGTGAGTGCATTTCATAGAATCACCATTTTTATAGAATGTAAATGCCTGTCCTCTAGTAGAGTTTATGAAAAACTACACATTTCTGGACATTTATTCAGAGCAGAATTAATCATACAAGAATACCCTGTAATGAATTACTACAGCAGGATTTGACTCCTGGTCTTTAAATCCTTTTATTGTCTAGTCTTTAAATTGCAGGGATTTTTAGCACTGTATAAATTTAGTAGATGAGAATAAAACACATCTGATGTCTAGGTTCTAGCATGCTCAAGACCTAAATTGTACACAGTCTCCTAACACCCGTGGCATAGGATTGGTGAGCTTCCTACCACATTAAAAGGCCAGTGGCAGCTCTGAGTAAATGAGACAGATAGTTGGAGGATTTTCAAAAATTGTATTTACAAATGAAAATGAAAAAAAGCTGTCCCTGAAGTATCCCCCACTGTATTTTCACATTAAGGTTTATGTAGAAACAACTTCCACATATAAAACAGTGCATACTTCTTCAAAAAAATCTTCAAACTACTAAAGGGGAAACCTGAGATTTTTGTACATACTCAGTCCATGCAGCTCCTTGAGCTTACAGAACACAGAAACAAGCAGAGGCAGGTGCAGTTCCTGCCATCCCACTATACTGTTACACCATGGCTCGCTAGCACTGATGAAAGTTTCCTTATAACGCTCCTGTGAAACCAGGAAAATATATTTCCCCTTTTTTTCAAGGTGAAAAAAAATAATTGCAGCTGCAAAATGAAAGGACTTGGACAGGTTTGCCCAGGAAATGCAAGACCACGTCAGAGGGAGAAACCAGACCTCTAATTTCTTTTTGTCCACACTGCTGGAAAGGCTGAGCAGCTCTGACACTTACACACACAGGTTCCAACCAGGCAACCAACCTATAGTCTTGACTTCAGAGATGAATGGCCAGTTTATAAAGAGATTATGATGGGCTGGGGATCATTCAGGAAATAAATAATCTGTGACAGAGAGCATAAACATTTCCTCATTTTTGATTTTCAGAGCCAATACTCCAGTCAACAGTCACGGCTTCACAAGAAACCAACAAAGAGGGAAGAAAGGGCAAAGGCAGCCAAAGAAAGCTGCTTTGCAAAAACAGATCTCCATTTTACACTTTATCAGTCAAGAATGGGCCACTCACATAGACCTTCACAGCCAGCAAGAATCTAATTAAAATACTCATCAGGTATCGGGTTCTGGGGTACTATAGAGATCTGCTTTTTAAAGAAATTTGGTCCTCAGCAGTTTTATGAGCTGTAAGCAAAATCCATGTTTTGGAGAAACAACGGAGGACTCAAATATTCAGCTTTCTGGGCTGTTTCTCTACAGAATTCATTGAGCTGTGTCTCTCTGTAGAGAGGAGATAGGTTCCTTTAATGATAGAAGCTGAAGTAGGAATGTATTTTGCATAAAGGTCTTTAATACAAGGTTCATTTAATAATTAACTCAATAAACTTTTCAAGATTTTCTTCTACATTGTATTCCTGAGTTCACTCTCACTCATCAGAGCAACAGAGCATCTTGTTGCTCCAGACAGATTACCCATGACTGCAATACCCAAAAGGCTTAACCAAAGGAATTGTTGCCACCATCGTACCCAGATAGATGTCTTGCCAAAAAAATTCAAAGTGCCTTGAGGAAGAGGCATGAGATTTCATTTATGTTTGCAGAGTGGGATGTTAGCTCCACTTCCCAGATGTGGGAATTGAGGCACAGGAGGAGAAGCGAGTTGCCAGTTGTCAGCACAGATCTAAAAATCCAGTGACTTGGCCTCCCTTGTCCCAGTTTAGGCAATACACGTATCACTTCTCCTAGGGACACTTTCCTTTCAAATTCTACCTGAACCAAAATAGAAACAAAAAGTATAGAGGCAATTCCCAAGCAACAGAAGAGTGGAAGCACAAGGCCCAGCTTGGGATCTGTTTCAGGCTTTCAGCCAGTTGCATGACTGAACTGGGACATGTCCTTTCCTTTGCGGGCAGATAAGGCTGAGGAAAAGAAGAACTAATTGGATAGAGTGCCATTTCAGCAGCTTTCAACAATTTGTTTTCAAGTTTAAAATCCAGATCTGTAGTGAAAAAACAACTTTTTAAGGATCCTTCAAATAGGGCCAGTGCACATTTAAAATGTGATTACAGTAAGAACCCAAATCAAAGCTGCAGATTAGGCACCAGTTATGATGGATTTTCAGCCACAAAGCACAAAAGAATCACAAGCATTACTAAATACAACCAGGGGAATTTAGTACTAATCCTAACAAATATGAGAGGGAGAGGGAGAGAGAGCATGCACACACTTTATGTCTCCTAGGCAGCATTATGTTACTACGCACCTAATACAGGATAGATAATCTTCCAACATATTTTAATCAGGTAAAATGGTAAGGCACCAAGACCTCATCAGTTACATTGATCTTCTACAATTTGTTGCTTTACAATACAAAATACTTGAAAATTGTTCTTCATTAAGAAGCAGAAAGTAGCAGGGAAGACATCAAACTGAAAAATATTACAACTGTTTGCAGAATTATGGATTGGAATAAAATAACACAGTTCATGGAAGTCACTTTTAACCTAACAGCACTTTAATTAATGGAATGTAACAGCTGTGCTACCGGGACCTGCCAGTCCCAGCGCGTTACGAACCACCAGCTCTACGACTAGGGATGTTACATTCTCTTCCTTGTGTTCTTGGACTGTTACCCAATTTAACCATTCCACCATTAAAAGCTTATCAGGCAAGACAGCAGACTGCCTTCAAAGCAAGTCAAGAACTAGCTTCCTCATCTCAACCTCTACATGTCATTTTTTTTAATACCCTTCCAATAATTAAAAATAATTCCTCTGGAACAACAACAGGTTTTTTGACAGGAATACACAAACTGCTGTGACTGATCAACTAATCAATAACATATTTCTAGAAGTAACCCGTACCAGATGCTTAAAGCAGCACTAACTGTAAGTAGCAATTTCATGTCATGTCTATTTTTGACATTTTAAAATGCAATTTTGCTTCACAGTGCAATGAAATTATCTGATTCCTTATTGCCAAATGTTAAGGTCCTGTCCCGAAACTCCAGAGAATCATGATTGGGCTTCACTCCAAGCAAAGCCCTTTTTGAATTCCAAAAAAGGAAAAAATGGGACTCAGAGTTGGGCCCTCCCGCAATGTATTTCACTTGAAGTTCTCACTAATCTTTGTTTCAGGCAATGATGCAAAAGGAAGCTGACAGATGTCCTTCTCAAAAAGTGCACTTCTTCCCATGAGTTGATCAACCTATCCCCTGAAGAACAAGACTTATCTATCTCTTCTCTTAGAGAAGAGGGTTTTTTTCTACTTAGAAATATCGCAACTCTAGGCATTCTTACTATGCAATATAATTACACCATTTCTAGACTCCCCAAAAGTTTGGCCACAGTGATAATCTGCAGCTATTGCTCTCCCAGCCTCACTGTGTACTGTATGAAAAGAGATATCCAGTCATTTTTGTATTTGTACTCTGGAGCACAAAGAAGAGAGTCACAGAGGGACAGAGGGTCCCTGAGAGACCACACTGGGCCAACAGAGAGAAGGGGAGCTCAAAAGCTACCCAGCCTAACCGTGAGGGGGAAAAAAAAAGACAAGTGCATGCAACAGAAGATAAAGAGGAACACATGAGGAAATGATGACAGAATATTGTTCACAGTGATAGAATCCAAGATTTTCCACCATTCCTTATTTCTCTCTAGACATCGTATTAAAGAAGAACCTTAAGAAGCTTGAAGAGCGGCTTTACAGATATTTATGGGAAACTCTTTCAACACTGCAGCACTGGTGAAAATCTTTACAAGCAATCCTCAGTTGAAAATACTAAAAGAGTGACAAAAAAAATATCACCACTGCTTTACTGGATGTCCTGGTTTTGGCTGGGATGGAGTTGATTTTCTCCCTAGTAGCTGCCATAGTGCTGTGTTTCGGATTTAGGGTGAGGATAATGTTGATAACTCACTGATGTTTTAGTTGTTGCTGAGCAGTGCTTACACCAGTCAAGGACTTTTCAGCTTCCCCTGCTCTGCCAGGTGCACAAGAAGCTGGGAGGGGGCACAGCTGGGACAGTTGACCCAAACCGGCCAAAGGGGTATTCCACACCATATAACGTCATGCTCAGCATATAAAGCTGGGGAAAGAAGAAGGAAGGGGGCAATGTTTGGAGTGATGGTGTTTGTCTTCCCAAGTCACCATCCCGTGTGATGG